ACTGAGATTTGTAGTTAATTCATACAGTTGGAGCAGGATACTCAGTCTGAAGCAATTTCTACTTTCTTACAGAGAAAGCTTATATCACGTCTGCTCCTATTCGACATGGTTAATATGAAACACCCAGAAAATAAGGGCTTACTGCTGTCTTTTATGAAGCTGCAAAATTTATGTCCTCTTCTGAATTACTGCAAGGCTTGTAGTTCATTTTTAACCCAGTACCTAGGAAACAGGGCTGTGGGTGGGGGGGTGTAGGTGTGGGTACATTTGGACACTCTGTTCAAGATACCTATTAATTTGGAATGAAAAAAAAAATCTAAGTTTTGTAAAGGAAGTAATGACAGTACAGAAACAACTCCAGATTTGGGTACTTCATGCGAATATTGTCCTGAATGAGAAGCAGGTTGCTGTCTTGTGAACTATGTCACTAAAACTTGCTTGCACAGTAGCGTTCTGGAGAACACAAGTCTTGCATTTGCTTTCTCTTACTTGAAAATTGATTAGCAGCTGGGCTACCAAGTGCAACACAAACTGTGTCTTGGAATGTCTTATGATGTTATATTCATTTACTTAGTAGGTGGGTATAGGCCTTCATATCAGGCAAAACACTGTATTTTACTTTTTCTCAGAATTTGTGAGTACTGTTTAAATCATAGTAAACATTCATGAGGGCATGTGAACATCTAAAGTAAAACTGGAGCAGCCCTGCCGAGGAGGACTTGGGGGTGCTGGTGGTTGAGAGTCTGGACATGACCCAGCTATGGGCACTCACAGCCCAGAAAGCCAAACCTGTCCTGGGCTGCATCCAAAGCAGCGTGGGCAGCAGGGGAGGGAGGGGATTCTGCCCCTCTGCTCTGCTCTGCTCTGCTCAGACCCCACCTGCAGTGCTGCATCCAGCTCTTGATTCTTCAGCACAGGAAGGACATAGAGCTGTTGGAGGGAGTCTAGAGGATGGCCACCAATCCGATTAGGGGGATGGAGCACCTCTTCTGTGAGAAAAAGTTTAGAGAATTTGGCTTGTCCAGCCCAGAAAAGAAAAACATGAAAAGGTTTTGGGGTGACCTAATTGCAACTTTGCACTACCTTAGGGAGGCTACAAGATAGATGGGGAGGCTTTTTACAATAAGGTCATGTAGTGACAGGACAAGAGGGAAAGGCTTAAAATTGAAAGAGAGTAGGTATAGATTAAATATTTGGAGGGAGTTCTTTGCTGTGAAGGTGATGAGGCACTGTAACAGGTTGCCCAGTGAAGTTGTAGATGCCCCATCCCTGGAAGTATTCCAGGCCAGGCTGGATGAAGGTCTCAGCAATTTGATCTAGTGGAGGATGTCCCTGGCCATGACAGAGTTGTTGGAACAAGACAATCTTTAAGGTCCCTTCCAACCCAGGCCATTCTACGACTCTACAAAATGAAACCTAGACCAAAGGCTTGCTGTCTGTTAAAAAGATCGAATATGCACTGATAAGATTTTGAGAAAATGCTGAACCATTGGCTTAGCAAAAATTATTTGCTCCAAAGATATTGAACATGCCTGAGCTTTAAATCTCTTGTTGGATGCCATTCAAGGTCTTTATTTTAGATTTTGTACCGAGTTCTGTCTCTGTAAGTAGATAGGAAGATACACTGATTATTTTCTGGATTTGTTTTGAAAACATTGATGTGATTAATTTGTTATGCTTCAACTTGGATGGGGGCAGAATAACTCTTGTATGTCTGGGAAAAACAGCAATTTTTCTTTCTCTGAAAGGCAGTGCAGCTTAAGAACAGACTTGGTTTTACTGTATTAAAGAACATGGTCTCACTCCCAGCTGGAGATGCATATTTAATAATGTGAAGCAATGAGCTGAATAATGCAAATCTGCAAGGTGGCTGACAGAAATGTATATTCACATACCAAGTTCAGAGAGATGTTGCTGCTATTTGACGAGTAACTAAGGAACTGATTGTGCTGCTTGAAGACAGAAAGAAAGGAAGTTCTACAGCTGGTTTGAATTACACTTAACGTCTAGTGTGGGCTAATTATTTACAAAAATTCAAAGGGAAAGGTCAGGCAGAGAACTCTTTCCTGTCTGTCCTCTAGGACTCAGGGACAGCGCAGTAAATACGGCTACGAGAAAATTTTGAAAATACTTGAATCCTTGTCCTGTGCACTCTATTGAAGGTCTCCAGACTTCAGCAGCAGCAGAGTGGCCACTCCCACATGAAGGGCCATAGCTCCATGTTTATCTTGTTACCATACAAAAGCATTTTCAGCCCATCTGTGCAAAATCTGTTAAGTTGCATAGTTTCAAAGAGGTGGAGAAATGCAGTTCTCCATGTTGCTGGATAGCAAAGCCGGTGAGACTGTAAGAGAAGTGGGCTTCAGCTGTGTGAGAGAGCTCCTTTTCCCCTGGGCAGTAAGAAGCAATTGCTGTAACATCATCATGGGGCGGGGGGGAAGGGGAAGGGGAGGAGGCTGGCATTAAGCTGCTGTAGTATATAAATCCTGGGTTGTCTTTTTATATTTTACATGTTTTTAAAATTCTTTGCCAGCTGGTTCTGCTGCAGACTTTGTAAGACACCTATAATAATTGTTTTTTCTTTCTGCGTCAGTTTCTCTTCTCTTTGAAAGCACTGTAAAAACCATGTAAATGTGACAGTGGCTGCAAGTCAGATGTAGGTTTACTTTGTGTAGTATGCATTTGAACCCAGATTGTCTCACTATCTAGAGAAGTAAAATGTTGCAAGGAATGAAATAAGGATGGCATACCTAAAATATGCAGACACATTTGTGTTATCATCGGCAATTTTGAAATGTTGAGGAAAAGAGAAAGTATTACCTTTTTTGCCTCAGAAAAATGTCATAGAATTTTCTGTTTTCCTTTTAACAAGATAATTTATCAAATAAGGCTTAAACTGTTTGTATAACACATCCTTTACTTGCAAGGTATTCAACAGCTTCCTAGAAGTTAAAATAATAAGATGTAAGATATACAGCCACAGGAGTGGAGTATCCAGAAATAGAGTACTTTTGGGATCCATTTGTGAGGCAGAACTTGCCTGGATTTGCTACTCTATAAGTTGTAGTTAATGGCTGAAATAACTAATTAAGTGTTCTTGAAGGCAATATGTACTGTTTCAGAGGGATATCTGTGAATACTCTTAATACAGATCTCTTTGTTAGCAGAAAACTATAATACAGGATTTATTCTGATCTCCCCCAAAATAGTTTTGTCCATCTTCAGAAAGGACTTGAAGTTAAATGGAAAATTTCAGAATGGAACCTTAGCCTTTTTGTGCTCTGCTCTGTTGTGTGTGGCAAGGTGAGATATCGTGGTCTCCTTCTTGTAATAACCGCAGGGACCATTTTGCGGCAGTTTCAGAAGTATGTGAAGCTGGACCCTTGCCACTGGAGGCGTACTTTTAGTGTGGCCTTTGACACACTTGCCTGGACCTCTGGGTTGCAGCATCTGCACAACCTCCTTTTTAAAAACTGAACATTTATTTTGAAGTAAACTTTCATGTTTCTTCAGTAAATTGGGTTTTTATGCAAGCCTTCACAGTCATATCAACTGCTTCTCTTTTGTACATTGAACTTCGTTATGGGTTTTTCCTCTCCCACAAAGAAGATGCTTTTGTGGTTAAAGTACATATCTGGATTTCAGAAAATCAAGAATTCAGTTTCTGGTTAAACCACAAATTTCCTGTATTGCCATCTCTGCCTTGGTTCCCCACCAGATATAATGTTGATCTTTTATAAGTTTTCAGATTAGCAGAACCCATCTTTATCATTTAATCTGATCCTCTGCATAATGGAAAAAAAAAAAAAAAGTTAATTACCTGCATGAAATAACAGAGCTTTTTTCTGGTGTAACATCTTGGAAGTTTTAAACAGCCTTCATTTTGGGTTCAGGAACACTTAATAATGGGTTCAGGAACACATTTTCCTGTCTTGTAGTGAAACATTCTCACCTTTAAGCATCTTCAGTGGTAATGTACTGGGGTTTCATTTTCATTTATTTATTATTTTGAATTTTACCTAAATTTTTGCTCTTTTTCCTGGAAGTAAAGGACTTGGTTAACTAGAATTCTTAGACTAGCCAAGGCATTTCTTAATAGTTTTCCTTGGCTAAATTAAAGAGGTTTTTTAGTCAGTTAATCTGAGTGTTCAACATAGCTCATACTTTGGGTTAAGGAGACACTGGTGTATGCAAAGGTCATGTACTGTGTATGCAAATCAAGACCATATTTTCAGAATACCTTTATTATAAGGGTTTATTCTTATTTATTTGCAGAGTTAGATGGCCAGGACTAGGTTTCTGCAGTTTAATCCAATGATATTTCCTTTTGTAGCAGTAGTTTGGAAAATGCTGCTTTGAACTGGTCTTGAGACAGCCCCTAATGTTTGCTGACTGCGTGTGTTTCTTGAGACCAAAACTGTTGATGTGGTGCAAAAGTTTGCAAAAGGGTTTTCAGGAAAGCTGTCCAGTAGAAGCAAGCTGCAAGCCAAAACCTGAATCATTTCTGAGATTAGTTCTTTAGGTCTATTATATTCATTCTGGATTTTTGACCTTTTTTACAGTTCAGTTTTGTCAGTCATAGCTGTATGCAAATAGGTTTTGTCAATATAAAAGCACAATGCTCTTTCCCTGCAGCATATATATCCAAATAGTATACCTCTATTTCAACAAGAATATTCCACTGAGAGCTTGTGCTCAGCTGAAATTATCACCTTCCCGTGTCTGCTGATGGGAGGCTGATCTGAGCACTCCTTAGTCCTCTTTAGTCACACCTTAGCTTAAAACACAGCAGAAGCAGCATCTGCTAATCTTACCGACTTTGCTTTGCAGCTCTGCCAACAAGAGGAATCATAAGGAGAATATGTTATGACAAGATAGAGTGGCAAGCACTGAGACACTGACTCCAGGTTCTAAGCTCTGCAGCCAGCATGGGGCTGTTGTTTGGTTTGGGGGCTTTTTTGGGCTTGGTGATTTTTAGGGGGGGTTTTGAAGCAATTTTTGTGATTCACTTTGATGCAATTAGCAATCTGCAGTTAACTAAAGCTCCATTTGATTACATGAGAAGTTGTTCAACTAAGTATATTCTTAGGTAATTCATACTGGTTTTCATGATTGACCTCTAATTGTCATTAGCTATTGTTCCACCATTTTTGTCATCACCAAAGTTGTCTGAACTTACACTTTCTTTCAAACCACATAACTGCTTATAAATCTACAGAACAACACAAGGTTGCCAACAGAGAAATCCCTTTGATGCTTAGCTAAAAATGCCTATTGAATTTAACAATTTCCCGTGTGTGGGCTGTTGAGATTTTCCTCATCTCCCCTTTGAAATTGTCATTGATCAGAATTATAAGCAAGATGGAGCCAGATGTCTTACAGAAGTCCTCTATGTCACCACAATTACTTTGTCAGCCCAAATAATGACCCCATTTAAAGAGGCTGTGGAGGCTGGGAACAGCCTATTTTCTCTCGAAGTGGCTGGAGCACTGCTATTTATATATCGGTCTCTTATTTTCTGATACATTAATGACTGCAGAGACCTCACTGGCCAATAGTTCCTTGGTATTCCTGGATAGCTGGTTATAACTTCTGTGTTCTCACTCGGTTTCATTTTCTAAAATAGCACTTCTTTTCCAACTGTCACATTATTTCTTATTTTTGGAACAGTCCTTACTAGGCTGGTCATGTTCTGATATCTAGGGATACTTGAAGGCATGTCTGCTTAGTACCAATAATTGCTTATTCTGTTAAAAAACCTCTGCATTAGTTCATATTAAATTTACTTCAAAATGCAGCCCCATTTACAGCTTAATTTCGTCTTTAAAACGGGAACAGAAATGGTATGGTATTCTATTTTTTCCATCCCACACTGATTTCTATGTAATTTCTCACAGTATATATGTGGCTTCTAGGCACAAGATACAGGATATATATTTTTTCCTTTGCATTTAGGGACAGATTTATATGTGCAGGATGTGTGTGGTTTCTAGAGGTGGCAAAATAAAGAAAAGAACTCCTTGCATCACAACGGAAGATGATAAAGCTTATAATCACACTAAATTTCTTGTAGCCTTAAGAAACAGAAGAGGGAGAGGCTACGGAAGTTGCTACTCTATTGTTGTTCCTTCTTCCTTCTCCTTCCCAACAGATTAACTTGATCTGAGCTTCTCTGGTAGGTGTTGTCATCAGGATTTATTACACAGCATTTGGACTGATCTGTAAAAGTTTTCTCTTTTGCAAAGATAAAGTTTACTTACATGGTAAGAGGAGTTGACCCTTTGAGTTTAGCCATAATTGTGATACTGTTTATAATTTCTTCTGCCCCAGACTATGGGAACTTTTAACAAAGGGGTAAAAGTTGAATTTTTGTGTGAGAAGATTGTAAAAAAATCACATGAACTTATGTGGGGTGTCTAGGTATCCTTGCTGTTGCAGAGAAGAAAGAAATTCCTAATACAGAGTTTTAAGATTAAATGACTTATAAAATCTTAAAAGATTAACTTAAACCAGACACTCAGGATTCATCTGAGTGATGCCAGCATGCATGTTTAAAGTTTTGGGTTGTCTTTAATTTTAAATTCTCTATATAAATATTTGCCCTTTCACCCTGTTCTTATTTTCCCCTCTCTCATTCCTTTCCATCTCCTAGTTTTCACCTCTTATAGTTCCACCCTGCAAAATTTCCTCTCCGTGCTTCTTTGTGTTCCCTTTTGCATTAATTCAGGTTCTGTATTAGAACAGAGAGAGTGTATTTATTAGAAAAGTTTAATAAAAGGTCATCCCTTTTCATGAACTGAACTGCAGAATTAGCATCTTCATACAACTGAGAAACCTGTAATTTGTGACTCATACCTGGGAATGTTTTTCACTACTGTTTTTAGAAAAGGATAAAAAATTTATTTTGAATCATTTGTCTCCTCTGTAGGCATATTGGTACTTTAGATATGAATATAAACATTTTAATATAAATAATATAACATACATACAGAGTACATCTATATGCCTTCACACACACAGAGGTTCATGCCTGTCATACGTGAAGTGTTTTAAGCACCACTGGATGAAATTCTGCCAGGCAACTTTACATGGTTTCTGCCAGGAAACTTTACACAGTTTCTGCACTTCTAGATAAGTCTCAAAATCACCGGTGGTACTGCCTGTGCCTGAATTTAAAAATTATGGGAAATGGCTATAGCAAGCTGCCACATAAATAACTAGTGGAAAGTGAAAGGAGGAAGGTAGCTTGTGAGAAAGTATTCGTTTCCAAAATGCAGCACAGAGAGGTGGAAACAAAGGGAAGACAGAATCTTAGATGTTCATTCTGTACATTAAGTCTAATGGTGCTATCAACAGCTTCATATGACAGGAAATGATCTGGGCGTTTTGTTCACTTATTCTGGATGCCCTTAGTTTCAGAGAGCAACTGGTAACATGGATTGCACTTCGGAAGGGGACAGCTGAACTCTCCCTCTGGCTTTAGTAAGGAAAGAGCAGCGATGAAATCCGTGGACTGTGTGCACGTCATCCAACAGAAGGATACCGCCTCCTCTCCCTCTGCCCCCCCTGGTGCTGTTTCAGGCGCCACGGGACTTTTTCCTGTCACATTCCTGTGGCTTGCAATGCTCCTGTCCTCTTGTCTTGCAGCAGTGTCTCTTTACCATGTTATCATCCTGAAAACAGAACTAGAAGCTCTGCGCAGCGAGCTGATCTACAGCATCCAGGCAAGGTCTCCGCTAGACCAACCACTCGTGTCCCCCAGTGAAAACAAAGCAGGTAGCCCTGTTTCTTCCTTCCTGCAAGTGTCTGCAGCTGGCTCCAGGCAGGTAAGCTGCAGGGGTGGGTTTTGACTTGCAGGGCATGGACCAATGTGGGGCTGCTCTCACTGACTGTTGCTTCTCCTTGTTAGGAGAGCAGGCTTGCTGGTACTGGCACAGCTGAGAGCTTCCAAAAGGAAATCTGGAACGGGAGTAGAAACAGGGGCAGGCGGTCTGTTGTCAACACAGAAGAAAAAGGTAAATACCAGCTGATGAAGTGGGCTGGGATGCTGCTGTTGGATACTGTCTGCAGAAAAGCAGGAGTGTTTGATTTGTATTTTCTTTCTCCTATCAGTTGATCCATGCTGCAGGAGCCCATTCTGGTTTTCAAAATTATTGGTGGATGAATGGTGTTAACCATAGGCATATTCTCTTAAAGGACAGAATATTAAATTACAGAATGTTTTGGTTTTGAAGAGATCTTTAAAGGTCATGTAGTCCAACCACCCTGCCATGAGTAGGGACATGTTTTTAAGGTACCAGATATTTATGCTATCTGCAGGTTAAACTTTGAATGTTGGATCCCAAATCTGCATGATGTTTTACAGTTGAAAAAGGCAACTTCAAATCATTCAGATTTTTAACTGTTCAATTCTCTCTGATCAAAGTAGGGAGGAAAATCTATTAATAAAAATGCCAATTCACTTTTCTGGGAAACATGCTCACCCAAAAAGAGAGAAGTAATGAGAACTTTAGGGAAATAGGAGCTTTTAAGTAGAAAGGCTAGCTTGTACCTGACAAGAGAGGCAGACTACAAGGAATTCAGAAGTTTAGCATAATTTCTACATTAAAACAACCTATCAATAAATCATAAAATTAATACAGGAATGCCTATCCAGTAAGATTATTTTGGTCATCGTTCTCCTTTTTAAAATGTTCTGCAAAGAACACTGAAGACTGTGCTCCATAAAAGACCTCTGATGTGTATTATAGAGTAATGGGATACTTTTTTTTTCCTTTGGGGATAAAATGCCTATATTTCATTATTTTTTCCAAACACAATGAGGTCTTATGAGATAAAATGCAGAATTTTATTATACCAGTTTGCACACATACTCTAATTGCACTGAGTAACTAAAACATTCCTGAGTTGCTAAATCAGTTCACTTTTCTTATGTATACTTTTATATTATTTTAAATGATATCTTAAACTATTTAGAGAAGTTGAAATGGAGCAAATTATAGGTAAAAATTAAATTAAGCTTTGCATAAAATCTGTTTCTCAGTAAGCAACTAACATGAAATGTATTTCACTTGAGCTTCAGTAAGCTAAATGAAATTAAAGTTCTAGAATATAATCACTTGCTTCCAATATCCAAAAAAACCTCATTAATTTAGGACATCACTTAAAATCCAGACGTTTATATGAGATTTATTCTATTTCGTTAGTTGTCTTTGATTCAAGATCTTGGCTAAGAAAGATTTCGCAAACAGGACTGAGGTCATGATTGCTTAAATTCTATTTCTTGTAGCCTGTTTCCTTCCACAAGAACCACAGAGCACCCCTGCTCTCCCCACCCTAGGAACTCCCAAATAAAAATAAGTGATCTGAAATACAAATATCATAAAAAATAAGGATATGTCTTGTTTAAATGAATGTTAGAGCATCAGTACTCTGCAAGTGATCCAGTTTCTTTCACAATAGCTTTCATTTTTAGTGTTATTGCTATTTGAGGTGAGCAGGATTTGGGGCTCCTCAGCTATGCTTCTGAATAGACTTTTGATTCTTCTCACCATGTAGCCACCTCTGATTATACCTGTTTACCGGTAACACATAAAATTTCAATTAAGCTACTTATTTCTGTAAACTTTTTTTTAAGGTACAGCTGGCTTTAAAGTTGTTTAGGATGGATGAAACAAAACACAGAATATGAACTTTCATTTTAAAGGGAAAAGCTACATCAATTGACCTATCACAAAAATGTTTTCTAACATGAACCTCATATTTTTGTATAAAAAAAAGAAAAAAGTCAATTGCAAATCTTGTATTTATATCAAAGGTTATCTGTTAGAATTAGCTTTCTACCTGCTCTAATTTCAAAAAATTTAGTTTTTCAGAGTTCAGTTATATATTATATTCATATTATATTTTCTCAGATCAGATTTCACTGATGACCATGAACCTACTAGTCAATGTTAAATTTAGGTTTAGCAGAGTCAGTTAAATAGAAGACCATGGTGTTGTTCATGGTGCTGAATCCAATCTACTACTTTATAATGTACACAGAATTACAGACCCTTCATTTTGATCTTTTGATATTTATATCTGGGTTCCAGAATCCCATCAGTCTCCAAATTGTCCTGCAGAGGTGTGGTACTCATTCTGTTATAATGACAAATAAATCAGGGTATTGAGTGAGGTGCCTGTTCTTGCTCTACTTCTGTTTGCTTCAGCAAGGTCTCAAAGTAGAGTTTGATCATAGTTAATTGCTGACCCATCATTTTGCTTTTATATGGATGAATTCCTTAGAAAGTTAATATTTGGAAATGTCACTGGTATCTAATTGCTTCTCTTGTGCTTCAACAGAGTGCAGAAATAAAATATAGAACTAATAGCTTGTTTATAAATAAAGTTATTGTTCAGTTCTGGGGTTTCTAGACTTTAACCATCAAATTCCAGGAATGCATGTCCCATCATTCTTTTTTTAGACCCAGTACAGCCTTTCTTAAGCATACTGAATTTTCATTTTAATGCATACAAGTGGCTACAAATCAGCATTTTATTTAACAGGACAATTGAATGGAAGTGGATTTAACACAATGTTGTTTCTTTTTTTATGGAGTCTGTGCAAATGCATAAAACTATTAGTCATCAGTAGTCAAACACTTTGTGTCTTGCAAAAATTTCCAGCTTGGGTAGGATGAAGAGAAGTGTTTCAAGCATCAATTCCAAATAAAGCAGCACAGTCAGCAGTCAGAACCAGAGTTCTTGATGCAGTGAGTAGGAGGTAATGGGTGATTTTGAAACGTATGCTTCTGGCAAATGTCATTTCGGGACATGTTACAACAGATGTACTTTTTCTTTTTATCTTTCTCTTTACAAATTTCAACTGTGGAGGAAAATAGGTGCACAACAAAAGACCTCTCCTGAATTTTATATTCTATTCACAGTTAGTGATTGCGTTGCCTGTGTGTTTCTTCCTAAGCTGCATGTGCACTTGAGCCTAGGAGCAAGTTTTAGGTCCCATTGCCTAAGCCAAAGTATGAACATCAGGTATCATTTTCACAATGTCTCAGTGCCTCATTCTAATAGTTATTGTGGGATTCTGATTCCCATGACCTAGGGAGGTGAGAATCAGACCTTCTCTAAACACAAATGCTGGGATCAGACTGGAGCCCCCATGGACTATATTTACTTTGGTGTACTGCATGTATGAAGGAGCTGAGGAGCTATTTTATGTAATTCCACAAATCAATGAGGCAGGGTAATCTGATATGTGATTTGGCAATTCGTTTTTTTACTAATAATTTTCAGGTTCTACTCCAACAGCAGTCGTGTCCATGAGAAGTAACTATTACCTTCCAAGCCTGGTGTCACAACTCTGCCGTTGCTCTCGATAAAATTGCTGTACTGGAAAATTGGTACATTTGTTGGTTGGAAGTGTTTTGACTGTTTATGTTGATACTTTAGATATCTGTGACAGAGGGATAGCAAGAGGTTTTACAAGTGGTACTTGACTTCAGTGATCTTTGCATTGAGACATAACCTTTTTTTACTATCTTAAACAAATGCCATATATAAAATCCCCTTACCAAATATTCACAATACTTCATATTTTAATGTTTGAAGAGGTCAAATATGAAATGAAAATTAAAATCAAATTTAAAAGGAAAAAGAAGAGCATACTTCTTGAAAATATATATTATCCTTATTTTTTTTCTGCTGACAACTGTCTAACTCAAAAGGAAATAGACCCTTCTATGCAAAAGGACAGAAAATTCCTTGATGCAATTCCTGCAATTTTACGTGAAGAATTTAACTGAATGAAGGAGTGATTAAATCAGTGCTGTGTATTATGCAGAACTCTGTACAGTCGAAAAGACGCCCAATAGGCTCTAAGTTTTAAAACCAGCACTCTGCTATATACTGTACAATAGAAGTCTTAATTCCTAGTAAACAATTCCCTTGTTTTTCTAGATGTAACATATTATTGGCAATTCTGTGAAGGTAGAAATAATGCTACTAATTCTTTAAAGATGTTTGTTAGATCTTAGTCATACATGTAACTATGATCAAGGCATTTTAATGTAGGAACAGACTGAATCCATAATTGATGCCATATAAAGACATCTCTATTAAAACACACCAGATTAACCAATTGTCCTGGTTTCTGCTGTGATAGAGTTCATGAAAACAGTTTATAAAAATGCACAAGCAAAAACTAGAAGAAGATCTGTTGGGATAGAAATCAAGAAGTAGAGGGAAGAAAAACTGCAAATGCTTCAAGAAAATGCTTGTCATTTATAAATTAAATTGTCTGGTGTTTAAATGTGCTTTGGGAAACGTATAGAGAACAGATCTAGACAAAAAAGGAACCTATATAAGGAGGTCTGGGTTTGGTTTTGTTTTTTTTTCAAGGTTAGGGTTTTTCCTAGGTTTTATTTCAGCAAAAATGAGCACAGATGTCTCAGACCTCAGATATCAAAACTTTAAATTTTATATAAGAGCTCACAAATATTAAACTTGAAATTTTGTTTGGATAGATCACTAAGTGATATTGCAAAATATTATTTTGCAATTTAAAAAATAACAAAGTTTGCAATTTAAAAAATAACAAATTATGCAATTTAAAAAATAACAAAGTTTGCATGGGAGGGAAAATTTTATTTTACCAATATAAGTTCTTAAATCATGGAGATTTGCAGAAATCTAGATTGGTGTCCTTCAGCAAATGATAGTAGGTTTTTGGTTTTTTAATTGTGATTACATTGCTCAACTAGTAGAGAACACATCATTGCATGTGCTGGCTGTTGTTTATAAAGGGATCTGGACTGACTAACATCTTCAGAATTGGGTCTTCTGTCCATGGAATAAGACAAACTCCAAAATGAACTTCTGCCAACCCACAACCTGCAGAGCAATTAAAATCAGCTGAGAAAAAGAATGTTCATCAAAGCTATTATATAAAAGTCACAAGAGGATGGGGCATGCTTTGTCATTCTAGAGACACTTTTATACAGATAGATCTCATGGTGACACTCAGTCTAGATATTTTTACACATTTTCACAATGTATAGTATTAATCCTTTATTTTGCTTTCATTACTAATCAAAAATCCTTTAGACTACAAAGATGTTGTTCAGGTTTGACTTACACTGGGCTAAGACATTAAATAGCAACTATTCAATGTGTATTTTGTAATACATGTATTCCACATATTGCACTTAAGATTCGCGTACTTCTTGGAATAGAATTGCTGGTGTTTTTTAACAACATTTACTTTTTACTAAAAATTCCTGTTAATTTACCCAGAAAATGTACTTTGTATATCCATATCTTCTCCTTCTTAGTAGTAGTGTTTACTTGGAATTTTTTTCAATTAATTACTTAATTTTAGGCACGTAACTAGTTCCGCTGAAGTCAAAGTACTTGTATATACTGGAAATAGTTATGTGTCAGCTTTGGCTTCTGAACATATTTTTGAAGCATGTTGTTGTTCAATCCTCAAAGCACTTTTTTAGATATTGTCATTTGTAGATTTAGGCAAAATGGCCACTGTGCTAGCCTCTATTGTCCTACAAAGGACACTATTTTATGTATTTTCTCCAAAAACCAGCTTAATATATTCTGTGGAGTTTTGTTCCTATCTTATATTAAAAGAAGAGACAGACAATTTTTTAGAGATTAAGTGCAGATCTGATGTCTGTAGAATGAAGTAGAGTTGGTATATTTTTTTGAAAAGATGGAGATGATGTCAAACTGTACTGATCTTTCAGATTTTAAGTACTGTGAGCAGTTCTCAGCAATGTTGACTAGAATTTCAGTGCTGCAACCAGCTGAAACAGAAATCCACACTTGCAAACTGAGAATTAAGATAGTTTGAAGAATGCCCACCAAGTTTGCAGAGTGACTTTAACAAGAGTTGCTAAAGTAGGCATAGCTTTTGCTGCTTGTAGATACTGCTCAGTGGCAAGCAGCTGGACAGCAGCTGGTTAGTGGGAGTCATCACAAATCTTCTCGTTTGGTTAGTGAAGAATCTGGTGCCCACATTAGTGAGCTCTTTTAAAAGCAAGAATTAAAATTTTGGTTTAGCTTACTGAAATACTAGGTGACCACCAAATTTAATTCACTAGGAAAGCATTTTGTTCCAAAATGAATTAATAACTTGTGAAATTATTTGCCTGATGTGCTGTGTTGTCTCCCTAAAGTCACATTTTAGTTCTATTTAGAAGTTTATTTTCCAGAAAATAATTTTGCTCCCAAGTGTGATAGAAAATTGTATGAAGTGTAATACCTTTATTAATTTTGTGTTGGCTTGAGGTGTTTTATTTCTTGCCAGAAGGTAGATAACTCAGATGCCTTTAAATTCTTGATTTGAAAAATCTATAAATTGTAGCACATTATTGATGTGTGATGTGATAAGACCCAAGGACACATTTCAGTGTAGGAGACAGGAGTTTGGATGATAGAATTCCTATTACCATGATGGCTTGCAGGTTGTGTGATCATTCTGGAATTGGTGCATTCCCAGATGTGCACTTGAATCCTTGAGTGCTGCCAGTTGGCACTGCTGAGTGCTGGTGAGCATCCAGCCCTCTTCTTCTGTTTTCAAGAAAGACCCCTTAAAAAGGAGACTTAGAAACATAAAAAGACTTCTTTCCACCCAAATCCTCTGGGTACCTGCTGTGCAGAAAGAGGTTTGTACCACTGGACCCTTGGTTGCACTTGGGTACCACTGACAAATGCAGAAACAGGATCCCACGTATCCATGGCATTCCCCATTACAGCCAAATCTGTGTGGCCAAATCTGATCCACAGCCTTCTTGTCTGAAAAGTGGTAAACAAAATGGAGCAATGTATGACAGAATTTTATTCTCTTGACTCTTAATAAATTAATTTGGTCTCTGTCATGTGCAGTAAGTGTTACTACTTGGTTTTCCATCCTTCAAAGTGGCATGAGAACGAGATGTTTTGATTAAAATCTGCTCCAAGCAAATACAGTCTTTTTTTTCCTTTTTTCTTGTTGTCTGACACATACTTATCAGGTTTTTTTACAAGATCTTTGTTTCACTTGGAAATCTATATTTTAACATTCTGAAGTATTTTTTTCTGAACAAATATCTAATTTCTGATTAGTGTCATGAATCTCTACAATTTTGAGCAACACATTTTGACAGATACCAAGCTATTTGTTATGGGTGCATTAATTTGCTAAGGATGCATTAATTTGCTAACTCTCTCTATTTTCCCTCTTAGTATAGGTTGGTCTAGAGTAGGTATCTGAAAAATATTGAAAGAATGTGTATATGGACATTGAGAATTTATTATGAAAGTATATATGACTAATATTTTACAGCAACTATAAATGGAAAGTAATTTCTCTAAACAATACATCAAACATAGTTAGAAAATCTGCTCTCTGTCATAGCAGGTGGGGTTGGGGCTTTTTTCAAGCTTTTGTATAGAAAATGAAAAAGCTTAATTGACCTAATGATTTCTTGCTCATTTGACTTACTGCTACATAGTTAAATAAGGGCCAGATATGAAAACAAGCAAGTGTTTTTTGTGCTGCTACCTGAGGCCTCCCACTTAGCTCCATGATCTCTCAAAGTCATCTAGTGTGTGTTGTGACAGGAATGTTCTTTTTGTACATTTGAGTAAAACCTGTGTTAAAACTAATATGTTCTGGTTTAAAATAAGTGGTGAGACTGAGAGATTTCTTCCATGTCCTTTTTTTTTTTTCCTTAATGTAGGTTCATGATTTTATTCTATTACTGATTTATGTTTCTTTAATTTCAAAATACTTTCACTTTGTAGTGCTGCAGGCCTGCTTGCAACTGATTGCTGACAGCAAAAGTGATATCCAACAGAAAGGTAAGAATATGTGCCATGATTTATAGTTTACTACTCCATGGGATAACTGTTTCAACAAATTTTACCTAACTTCAAAGCAGTAACTGAGTTTTAGCAGCAAATTTAAAAATAAAATAAATACATAATTTTTTTTAAAACCCAACAACTACAAACAAAAACATCAAAAAACAACAAGGAGGTCCCTACATCTGGAAGGTCCCTGTATCTGGATGGCTCTTGCAAATATCATCTTTCCAGTAGGGAAATGCACCTAGGGAGACTGGAAGTACTATCTAGAAGTTAGACTTTGTTATTTTTCAGCAGGTGAAAATGAAGAGCATAACCCTTCTGATTGCCCAAAATTATTTTGTCTTTTAGATGATTCAAGCATTGTCCCTTGGCTCCTGAGCTTTAAACGTGGAACAGCTCTGGAAGAACAAGGAAATAAAATAGTGATCAAAGAAACAGGTTATTTTTTCATATATGGCCAGGTGAGAAAGCTCTATTCACTTCAGCATCTGACTTGTGTAAGGATTTTTAATGCCTCCATACAATAAGTTTAGAGTTTTCACCTCTTCTTTCTATAGGTTTTATATACAGATACAACATTTGCTATGGGACACCTAATCCAGAGGAAGAAGGCTCATGTGTTTGGTGATGATCTCAGCTTGGTGACATTGTTTCGCTGCATCCAAAATATGCCACAGTCTTATCCAAATAATTCTTGCTACACTGCTGGTAAATATCTGCATTTTCTTTTTCTTTGTTTGCAAACAAGCTGTATCAAATACAATCTGTAGTGCTGGGCAATTGTATTGTACCAGTCATAAAGAACAGGGTGGGCATGCATGGATCTGGCTAACTGAAAAATTACAGAATACTTTCAGAAAATACAGTTTTATATGAAGTATCAGCAACTGGAGATTATGCATCTAGCTTGGTGATCGGAACAATTTTTCTCTCTCCATTGACTCTGTAACATGGTTAGACATTTTGGTGCTTTCAGTTAGATGTCTGAGGCAGGCAAGACAAATCTCTACTGCCCTCATTGAAGAACTCAGTTTAAATTAGGAGTTGAATTCCCCATTTAGTCATCCCAAGAAAATATTAAAATGCTATATTCTCCTTTAAAATGTCATATGTGGATTTTAGCCATTTTAGCAAGTATTGACTTGCATACCTTACTGTGATGTTTCTACTTCTTATAAAGGCTACTGGATTTTTAGTCCTTGGTTTGATGAAAAACAGTTAATTCCTATAAGGTGGTCTTTATGACTGCACAAATTAGAAACACCACAAGAAAAAACAATTAAAATACTTAATGCAAGTCCAGCAAGCTCAATGGTCAGTATATGTGTATATTACTGCAGTAACATTTAAGTAATTATTGTCAAGGCCTATAAAACCCCATATATCATCTCTTAACTGTCTGTCTTTCCACCTTAATGGTGGATTTGAGGGTTTTCTCTTTGATTATTATCCAGAAAGATTTCTTTTTTCAGTGCCTTATTAAAAAAATGGGTGACACTGAGGGATGGAGTTGACTGTCAGCAAGTAATGACATTAAACAAATGGGATGTGGCAGGCAGCTGTTTTTTTCACCAATTAAAAAAAATCCAACTAACTAACTAACTAATTAGATATTTTGACCTGGCAATTGAAGCTGTCCAAACATTTCTTTTGAATTTTTGCCCCTTCAGTCTCACATTCTGGCAACATAACCACCTTCCATATCATCTATATTCTGATTTTACCTTTGTATTACAGCTCCCCTTTTCTAACTAAGATCTCTGTCTTGCCACTTCACGATTCCTACTTCCCAAATTCCCACTGTTCTGTTTTAACCTGGAAAAAAAAAAAAGTTCTGACTCTTCTCTCTCACACTGTTGGGCTGTGTCACAGCAGATATTAGATGTGTTCTCAGCTCAGCAGCTGCAGCTTGAAGGCGACATGCTCTTGGTTATCATATCAGCTGATGTGTGTCTGGCAGCAGGCAAACTTTTGTGCTCTGCAGTTGCAGTGGATCAGCTGATGTGTGGTAACTTCATTAGGTTGGTAAAGCTCATGAGACCTCCTCCAGAAGTGTGGGAACAGGGTAGTCTGGGGCCAGTAATACTCAGTGCTGATTTTGACTGTCTCATCACCATAACATGAGGAACCTGGGTACACCGCTGTTAGAAATTTTTGCTGTGTTTGCTGAAGTGAACTGTGCTATGCCGAGTGCAGTGTGGAAATTAAGTCCATCTTCACAGAGGATGTTAAGTGTCAGCTTTGGATAGGCTGTAAACTCTAAGATGATACCTAAAGATAAAAACATTCATCACAAATAACAAGCCGTGCTTACATTTGGAAGATGACACATAATGACTTTTGAGTACCATTTATAAAGTACTTCACTTGAGATATTAACTTAAAAATATTCCAAATCTTTTGCCAGGCATTGCAAAATTAGAAGAAGGGGATGAACTTCAACTTACAATACCACGGAGAAGGGCTAAAATATCCTTGGATGGAGATGGTACTTTTTTTGGTGCAGTAAGACTCCTCTGAAGCCCTTCATTTCTGTTTTTATGCTTAATGCCATTTTCTTCTCTACCTATGCCTTTGTCAGAAAAAATATCAAATTGTAGCTTTTACAATTTATCAGCCTCTCCCGATTCACCACAGGCTTCTAAGAATTTTCTTCACTTTAATATGCAAACCCAAAACAGGAAACATACCAGACATGCTTGTGATATAACCACCATGTGATTACCAGAAAGCCAATTTATTTTAGCAATGGGACACTCTAGATAACAATTATAAAGCAATGAGGTTTTGGCTTTGAAACAGTTTGTTATCCATATGGTAAACCAAAGGACGAGTTGACCAAAAATAACAGCATGACCAGGACCACAGACTATCAAATTGTTATCCATTGAAAAGGAAATCTAAAATTAAAGTGTATCCTAGATTTGCATTATTTAATCAGTAAAGTATTTAATATATAAAGTGTAGAGAAAAGACAGCGAACAGTATATTCCTTACCACAAAATGAAATTGTTAGTTATAGAGTTTTGGCTTTTTTTTCTTTCCCCAGAGATACTGGGGAAGGAAAAATTCTAGAAGTCTGGGATAATGAAAACAAATATACAGTATTGTAGCCACTGTCTTGCTTCTTCCCTGTGAACAAAAAGTGAATAAATTACTACAATCTATTAGCATTTACTAATTAGAATTAATTTTACCGGAAAAAGGACATGTAAAACACTTCAACAGCTCAATCTTCAAAGCATTGCTACTTGTCAAGGAATATGTGTGCACTTCTATGTAAACAAGGCTGGCACAGGAAGAAACACGGTGAGATTAGACACAATACCATGGTTGGAAGCGGATTTCTGGCTCCATTATTTCTGCAGTCATATATAGATATGTGTATATATATACAGTATGTAGACATATCTGTATATATTTGAGAGTATGTATACACACATAGATCTTGGGCATTTAGGAATAGAATTTTATCTTCTTTGGAGCAGTTTATCCAATGGAAATACTACTTCATACATATTTTTTTTATATTTCCCTTGCTTCTTGCCATGATCCATTCTATGGAATACAGTAAAAAGAAAAATCCAATAGACCTGGAACCAGCCTTTCAACTAAGAAAATACACTTGTATCTCCGAGGCTTTTTCTGTGGTTTTGAATATAACGCTTAACCCTGTTTTACAAAAATATTCAGATCTGTAGAAAGAATAAAAAGATGTCCTTTTTCCTTTTCATTTGTCTGGATGCTTTGTTCAGTAGGCAGTATTTATGCCTTTTTTATCCCAAATATTTTATGGTCAAAGGAGCTATTCTACTTTTTCCCTACTCTTAAAGAAGCATTGAAGTGCTATAGGAATAGATAAAAAGTAAAACCCCAAGTAATTAACTGTACTTTATTTGAAAAACATTTTTAGGACCTGAAAATTGTGTTATATAGACTTTCTTAGTAAAGAAAAGATGCTCTGCATATTGCAGTTTCCTTGTCTGTGATCTGATTGATTTCTCATGGTGATAGATAATAAATAAAAGAGATTTGGAGCTCAGAATTATAAAGCATGGTAAACTAATGAAACAATTATTTTTTCTTCTCTGGGCTTTGGGAAGACATTTCAGCAATAAGCATATGTGTATTGGATTTTTACACTGGGATTTTTATGAGGCTTAACTACAGTTGCAAAATATCTGCAAGTCATCCTTTTATAAAAAACTATTTATTTATTTATTTATGTGTTGTGAAATTGAAGTTACAACTGTTTGGGGGTTTTTTTGGGGTTTTTTTGGGGTTTTTTTTGTGTTTGTTTTTTTTTTGTTGTTGTTTTTTTGTTTTGTTTTTTTTTTGTGTGTGTGTCATTATTATTATTAAACTTTGATGTACTGAATTTGCCAAAAAGGTATTTTAAAACCTATACAGGATCCCTCAATTTAACCAAGGTTGTATAATATACATATAGGTAAAAAAACTGTTAGCATGCAGTGAGTTGTTTGTTATTACTGAAGTACATTAATTATGCCCAGAATCTCTCATCAAAAGTTTGCCGATTTTATTATTTTCTGATTATAGGAAAAATGATGTTGTTACTGTTGCTTTCCCAGGGTCTCAGTAGCTAAACGTGCAAATCTAACTTTTATTTTGTAAGCTTCCCCAGTGGTTTTGGTGGGCTTGTGTGTGCCTAACTTAAGCCATTTCCCAGACTGTATTTCTTCCTTCTGCTGCTGACAAATGTGCAAAGTGCAGACGTTTGGAAAGGGTCTGGCGCATGATTTGGCTTGGAGGAAAACTTCTGTTTTCTGAAAGAAAACTTTTCAGAGGTGTTCCCTTCCTTAGAAGGTTGGAACTGAACTTCCATTTCTTCACAAAAAGCATGAAGCACGTTCACGTGGTTCTGTGGACCACGAGAACTCCCACATGTGTGCAGAGTGCAAGTTGACAGACTGTTCAGATATTTCTACTGACAAGTCTGGCAATTTTGTTGCTGTTAGATTAGATTTGTACTGGCTTCATGAGAAATCTTGTCTTTTCAAAATTAACCTGCTTCTGCACAAAGTTGAGTTTTAACAGATCAGCATTTTCTGATCAAAGCATAAAGAAAGAAAAGGAGAATAGTTCATCCCTAATCATTCTGCTAACAAGGTGGTGATGCAGAAGGTAGCAAAGTGCATCCAGACCACCATCGCACATATGCTTCAGTGAGTGGGAGTTAGTGAAGCATTCTGCATTTGGGAGGTATTTAAATAAGTGTGATAGGCAATAATTAGCATCTAGTTGCTTCATAGTATCTAGTTGGTACAATATTCTACATTTTTATCAAGGATATCTAACATTTAGGAGAGGTTTCTGTAAATGCAACAAACTTTGTGCATGTTCTGGTTCTTTTTCACATGGTGTTAAGTAGCACTACAAGGGACTTTTTCTTTCCAGTACATTTTAACAGAAAGTGTGAAGTTGCATCATTCTTTCCTTTTTAATAATGTGCAGTTGACAGATATATAGCTGCTTTGAATGTAATGTATTTGATGTAATGTGCATCTCATCTCTCTTATATGATGTGCAGTCACACACCCTGCCAACATACAGAGTATACTCATTATGTGACTCTCCTATATCTGACTGTGTCTCAAATTGCTCAGCATTTGCCAATTTAAGACTCATTTCAGAGGTCCCATAGTTTTGCCAAGCTTATACTGCTGGAGCTGACAGTTTCTGTATCTCTGGTTTGTCTTAAGTTGAATTATCTTAGGTTGTTTTTAGCCCTCAAAGTTCTACTGTTCTAAAGATGAGGTTAGGAAAAATGCATTCTTTGGAATTTATTTTAAAACTTTTGCTACCTTTTCTTTGGAAAGGCCTAGAGATTTTGCTTTGAAAGAAGAAGTCTGTGTAATGTGGAAGAAATGTGTGTAATGTGAGTTTTGCTTTGTTTTAAAAAGAGTTTTCTTTCTTCCTTCCTCTCTTTCTTCTTTTATATGCTTTTGAACAATATTTTATGCTTTGTTATGTTAAGCATTTTCTATCTCTATGGAACTTTCAAAAAGAAGAGGAAAATGTTCCCAGCAGTTTTGTGTCTGGATTACATCAGTAAGGTCTAAGCTTGTTTTTCAAGGTCAATCCAAACAGCAGTGAGAAGGAAAACAATGCAAATACAGGGAAGAGAGAAGCTAAATATTTGATGTAGAAAGACTCTCATGGAGTTTGCATATTACATAGATCCCAGCAGTGATGGGGAAAACAAATTAGACTTGGAGCTGGATGGCAGGAACAGGAGAGACCCTAGCTGGGATTTAATTGATTAATTTCTGATTCACAAGCTCTCTTCTTCATAGCTCACAACACGTAACTCATGCACCAATGAGCAAAACATAGCTGCTGGGGAGAGCTCTGGTTCCTCCTCCTCTGCTATGGCACAGGTGTCACAACTGTGAGGCACAAAAGCCTCAGCAATCCAGCTGCTGCTGCAGCCACTTCAAAAAATGTTTGGGTAAGCTGACACCTTCCAGCTTGGACATTTGGTCTACATCATCTCCAGGAGTCAGCAGGTTTTGCCAGACAAACAGCAAGCATATTTGATGGCTGCAAGGGACAGCATGCTGCAGGTGACAATGGCTGCAGGTGACAATGGCTGCATAAGGACTTTTAGTCCTTTCTGGCCACTGTGTCAAGCATACGTGTTGCCTTTGCTTTGGCTGAACAGCAGTGACCCCAGCATACATCAGGGAATAACATAGAGCATGAGCCATGTGTTAGCCAAAATTTGAGCAGGAAGTGAGTGAAAAGTCACACCACAGGGAGTGCAGTCAGCCACTGACGCAGGTTGTTCACAGATTTCCAGCACTTTTTTGGATAAATCCCTGAGCAACGTAGTCTGAATTCAGTGTTGATCCTTCTCTGAGCAGGATGAAGTACAGGCCTTCTAAATGATCCCTTTCCCCTGCCTGATTCTCTGATAAGAAAGCAGGAGATGTGAGAGGCAGAGAATGGACTGAAACTGGTGGGTCAGAAAAGGTCCTGCTGGGGAAGGAAGGGTGTTCATTTCCTGAGTGCTAATGAAACACAGGGTCCTCAGTGTGTGCTTCAACAGGATCAGCAAACATTTATGTGCTGAGCAAGGCAGGTTCCAGTTAAGCACAGCAAGCTGCTAGTAGTCATCAGGTACTGCATGACCTCAAACCTAAGAGTGTAAATTGAATCAAACCATGTAGCCAAGTAATAATCTTCATTCACTATCTTGCAAGTCTCCTTTGGCTTTTTTTCCTGCCCCCCTCCCCAGTTCACTCAGTGGATAGAAGGAAGACACTTCATCCTGTGAAAAATAAGATATCGATGTTTTAAGTGTTTTAAACCGAAGGCCAGAAATATATCTCAGAAATGTTGAAAGGAAGTAGCAAATGAGGCAGAACATGCAAGAAGATAAATTAGTGTCCTGTTTAAATCAGAATTGTATTCTCCTTCTGTCAGTGAGAGCTGGCTGAAAAGTCATGTTTACTTTCCACAGATGTAGCTTTTTTTTTTTCTTATTTTAAGGGTAGATTTGTTTCAGTTTTAACTTAAAGCCACTTCTACTAAAACTGGTTTTGGCCAATCTACAGGTCCTATATTTAGTCCTGATAAATGTCAGTTATTTCAATGGCTGTGGGAAGTCCTGTATCACAACATGTACGTGAATTCTCCCAACTGTGCTTAGGGTACTTTGCTTCCCAAAGCCTCTGTGCCTAGGGAGGAGTCTTGAATGAGCTCCTTTGAATCTAGAGACTTCCACTTTCAATTTCCCTGGGTCAGAAGCCAACAGCCCTTTTGGAAGTCTAAGTTCAGTTCCCCCCAGACATAATTTTCAGTTTCATAACAGTTTGTCCAGCCTGAAATATTTTAAGAAGAACATGCTGGGCTCTACAAACTGTGGTTTTGACAAAGTTCTGTTTTGTCAGAAAATTTCCAGCCTTTGCTGTAGAGTTCCTTAAACAAGATTTTTCACAGGTGGTCACTGAATGAATGTTCCCTATTCTCTGTCTGACTGCCTGATGCCCTTGTGGTCTCATTTGCAGAAGTGTTGAAACACACAGCTGCAACTGAAATTAGCAGGAGTGTGCTTTGAATACATGGAGGGCTGTATATTTTTGCTAGAATCCTCCTGTGGAAATACTACAGCAACAAATATTCTGAAAAAGCCCAGGGGAAATAAATTCTGATCTGGAGACAAACACAGTTAGAAGTGTGCAGTCAGCCAAGAGGCATGTTTTGGAAAAAGTGTGAGGAAAAGTTCTTAAATCATTGCTTGGGTACTGGACATGGTGTGCATTGAACGTGATGGGGATCTTAATGGGAAGGGCAATGTGAGAGTATATAAAGTAACTTCTGGTACAGGTAATAGAACTGAAACTACAAAGAAAGCTTTGTCCCATCTTCACTATGAGCATTTGACTTTGGATTGGAAGATTTGGTGGAGGTTGGAGACAGAATATCCAGGGGTCTGTTTCTATTTACTCCTCTAAAAACGGAAGCTCAACTCCCCACCAACCTCATAGAAACTACTTCATGTAGCTGTGGAAGGGCTGGTGACAGCGCTACCTGTGCTTAGAAAGTGTTTGTCTGGACATTAAGGGAACTTGAAAACAGCCACTTCATAATTCCTGGCACCACTGGAGAGCAGACTTAGCATTTTTAAAGAGAGAAGAGTAAGGGGGAAAGTTTTGCCAGAGGTGGCAAACTGCTGTCTCAGGATTTCTTACCTAGCTTGTTTTCAGAACAGGAAAGGCACAAGGATGGCAGGGATTTGAAAAGCTAAATAGGCACTGTTAGTTTTTTTTCTTTCCTTCAAAGACTAGATTTTCCATCTCCCCATCAGCCCAAGAAGGGGATAATAAGAGCAAAAAAAGCGGATGCGGTGAAGTGCACATCTGATGTGATGGTAAGTGGGAGAGGTAACAGAGATGTAGTTGTGTGGAAGGGGTGAGTGAAGATGAGAAAACAGCAAGAAAACTGTCATGCTGCTG